TTTCTACAGTTTTCAGAGAACTTTACCATCGTTTTGTTTCATTATGATGGTCGAGCATCCGAATGGGATGAGTTTGAGTGGTTGAAGCGGGCTATTCATGTGAGTGCAAAAAAACAGTCAAAATGGTAAGGAACGGTTCACTAAAATTCATGCTTATTTTGATGATTTTGAATACCCTATAATCAATTCTTCCATTTGAATTTTCAAATTTTTTAAAAGGTGGTTTGCTAAAAGGTTTCTGCATCCTGACATTGTTGCACCATATGACTTCATATTTATTTGGGATGAAGACCTTGGAGTTGAGCATTTTGTTGCCGAAGAGTAAGTATCTAATCAACCAGTTTCCTTTTTGACGGAAATCTTTGTCAACTAATTTGTGTTGTGCGTCTTTCTTTTGCCTTTGCAAATTCCAGATTTATCAAACTCGTGAAAAAACATGGATTAGAAATTTCACAGCCTGGTTTGGAACCCAATCGAGGGTTGACTTGGCAGATGACAAAGAGAAGAGGTGATCATGAAGTTCACAAGTAAGAATTATAAAACAAAACAAGAAACAACTAAAATTTCATACTATTTATGCTTATTTTGGGTGAAACCATTTCTTTCCCTTTTTTTTTTCTTTTTTTTTTTCCCTTTTTTGGTGCAATGTCTTCTTATACTTGCTTCTGAATATAGGCAAACAGAGGAGAAACCAGGCTGGTGCTCTGACCCACGTTTGCCTCCCTGTGCAGCGTATGAACTGTTCTCTGTTTTTTCTTCTTTTTACTGAACGACTGTCCGACTTTCTCTTTGTTCTCATTGCATCTGTGTAATTCTTGGACATTATTATTATTATTTTTTTTTTCATTTTCTGTCATCAACTAACACAGATTCGTAGAAATCATGGCTCCTGTCTTTTCTCGGGAGGCATGGCGTTGTGTATGGCATATGATACAGGTTAACTGTGATTTCCTCGTATTCACTCTTGGATCTTGAAAGTCCTTGAATTTGTGATTTAACTGTCTTGATCGGGTAATTGTAGAATGACTTGGTCCACGGTTGGGGTCTTGACTTTGCCCTCCAAAAATGTGTCGAGGTTAGTCATGCCTGTCCCCTTCAAAATCCACTTTGCAACTCTGGAATATATAAATAAGTTTTAGTACGTCTGTGCTGCAATTTCTACTGATAACTATGTGGCTGTGTCTCTGTTGTAGCCTGCTCATGAGAAAATTGGAGTTGTAGATGCCCAATGGATTGTTCATCAAAGTGTTCCTTCACTTGGGAATCAGGTAAAACACGACATTGGCAACACTTGCCACATTGCAATTTATAACGTTATAAGCATTTTTTGACATGCTGAACCTAACAGAGTGACAAAAAACTATTCACGTACCCGACTCCAAATTTGTGAAAAACGCGACTTTCTTGTTATTGTTGTTATATATGCATTTTAGGCCTCACGAAATAATCATCATCTCCCTTCAACATTTTTATAGGGGCAAGTAGAGAATGGCAAGGCTCCATGGCAAGGGGTACGTAGTTTCAACATACGTTGTATATACCATTTGCTAAACCAAGGACTCGACTCTAAAATAGTTAAATCCTCTTTATTCTCTCTAGAGCTGTAACTAGAGTTTTTTTTCGTTGGTTCCAGGTGCGCGCGAGGTGTAGACGAGAGTGGAAAATGTTCCAGACTAGGATGGCTGATGCAGAAAAATCTTATTACAAGGCAATGGGAATTGATCCTCCCAATTTCACAGAGCGCCATTAGATAGTACCATTATTTTGCATATAACATCTAGATTTGAATTTCTCATTTTTCTTGCTGTAGATAGTACATTTTTCCATTATAAATAACACATTTAAGCTTAAATGAATTAGTAATACTTTCCAATTTGTCTTTCCATGGTGCATATCGAGTTGGTCTAGTCATCGTTGGTGGGTAAATTTGATTATTAACACCTTTCAAAATGGAAATCCTTCTGCAAGTAATCTTTAGTTTAAAGGGAAGAAAATGTTCTTCAGAAACGCTAAAGTCGTCATCAGCAAATCACGTTTTATGATAGAGGGTTGCCATAGATGGAGAACTCAGATTGAGAGGAATCACAGCAAAAGACATTCTACAGACGTAATCGAGCGCTCTTTGAAATTTGTGATCTCCATCATGTATATTGACACTGAGAGAGATCCTCATGAAACTCAAAACAATAGACCATAGTCTCTCTATTTGTGTAGGGAGGGGGAGTTTCTCTCTTTTATTTACTCGAAACTCTATTAACGAGAACTCATGGCTTCATCGTTTAGTGGTCACGAGTTCAGTACATAAGCATCCTAAAGACAGGAACGAGCAGCAAGATAATCCTTGTACACATAGTTATTAAAATGGGAATACTGGCAAACTGGATTGTGATCCAGTTCAGTTGCTATAATTGGTACATTTAGCAAGTGAACTGGTCAAAAATTGGTTGAACTGCTCAATACATTGTCAAACCGGACTGGTTTAGATGAAAATGAAACCGATTCAAGGGTGAACCAGTTTATGACAAGGTCAAGAGAAATTTTTTTCTTCAATATGCGATGACTGAGATTTAAACCTAGGCATTTGAAGTGAAATATCACATTCATTACCATTATGGCAACAACTGAGCTTGTGTCATAATAGTGAAACAATACATATATATTTTATATCTAGAAAAATTGTTGTCATTTACTTTTAAAAATAAATTTTAATTAAAATTACGATCTAACAATGATCCATTAATTGAATCACTAATTCATCAATTGAACCACAATCCGATGACCCAATTATTTTTTCTAGTCAATGAATGGATCGAGTCAGATAGCCATGCTTGTACAGGATTCCAAATATATTAAAATCAAACTTAAGCGTTCTCAACTCTTGCAAGACCCCATTCACCTACCCTCTACCCGAATATGTGGACGTGTACACACACATATATATATCAATCACAATCAACACACTACTTGTCCTCTTTGTAGATCCATCGTGTAAGTATGAAGAATTGTGTGGATGAAATAGTTTAAATTTGTTGGTATGCTAGTGGATAAAATGAATTTTTTTATTTTTTTTTATTCATTATGTTGAAGTTTTGTCTAAGTCAGGGTCGAGATACCAAACATGTTTATAGTTCGCAATAAGTTGAAAGTGTAGTAGATTGTGCGAAAATAAGCAAATATACCAAGTCATTAAAAATGGTTGTCAAGTTATTGTAGATATTGGCATTCACCACATCATTTGTAGTTGTGTTCTAAAGGGGTCCTGGAAATTCATCATTGATCACAGTCACCTGATGTTATCAAACAAAATTTTCGTAGTTAACAAACAAACAAACAACAAGAAGAACAATAATAATATCTCTATTTAACTTTGAGTATAAATTCATTTTATTCACTCGACTATTTTTTGTTTGAAACTCATCACCAAAGTTTCAATTCCAACATTCTTTCTGTTGACGTGACTTGTAAGTTTGTTGTATCGGTTCTTAACACAATCCAGTGCTCAAATACGACCTTTTACATGTTCAAAGGCGTGTAATTCACAACTCTTCTATTATCGAACCAACCGTATATCTGAAAAAAATAATTCTACTGAATAGGGAATAGCATTAAAGAGATTGTCATTATTAGCTTCAATAATATAGTTTGAAAAGAAGTTACCTTCTTATCAACTCCAATAGGCTCCCGCTGGGAGAAGGAAACAATCCAATCAAAATTAGCATGTTCCACACTGACATTAAAGAACTCAGAAATTAGTGATGCTGTGAACTTAGTCATTTCATGCAACATTTTGAGAAAATAAGAAACTAAATTAAGTTACAAAATTTATTAGGACGAAATATATTTGCATAGAAGAGAAGATGTTAGGAAATGAACATGAAATGAAGCAGATTTAACTTCTACTAGTAACCATCAGAGTTTGCAAAGTAGAACTCCAAATTAACCAGAATTTAAGTTTGTCACCATATTACTTAGCCTTTGATAAAATTTTATCAACTTTTCAACTCATTAAATTTTCATTTTAACCACAAATTTTATACATTGTCGAACCGAACTGGTTTAGATGAAAATGAAACCGATTCAAGGGTGAACCAGTTTATGACAAGGTCAAGAGCAATTTTTTTCTTCAATATGCGATGACTGAGATTTAAACCTAGGCATTTGAAGTGAAATATCACATTCATTACCATTATGGCAACAACTGAGCTTGTGTCATAATAGTGAAACAATACATATATATTTTATATCTAGAAAAATTGTTGTCTTTTACTTTTAAAAATAATTTTTAATTAAAATTACGATCTAACAATGATCCATTGATTGAATCACTAATTCATCAATTGAACCACAATCCGATGACCCAATTATTTTTTCTAGTCAATGAATGGATCGAGTCAGATAGCCATGCTTGTACAGGATTCCAAATATATTAAAATCAAACTTAAGCGTTCTCAACTCTTGCAAGACCCCATTCACCCACCTGCTACCCGAATATGTGGACGTGTACACGCACAGATATATATCGGTCACAATCAGTAGTGACCTAAATTTGGAAAATGGACGTTAAATGAGGTTAATTAAATCAAATTAATCTTCAATCATTGACAATAAGAGGAAATCCAAAATCAAGAAACTTCCACCAGTCCTAACCTTGCAATATGGCAAAATCCTATTGGTCAACACAAAAATATTATAGACACGTGGCCTAATTATTTTGCCCTTTCCATTTCAGTGAAAGCACCAGATTTTAATCGGCATCAAGCACAAGACGCTTACACGTGTTGCCACGTGTCCACAACATCCCAAAATAGCTTTAAACCATGGTTTTATTTATTAGCAACCTCAATCCTCACCTCTTTTGTGGAAACAAATTTCTTGGTCCTCTTCAACGACCTTGTTCCAAAGATCTACCCGATTTTTGTGTACTTTGCTCGTTGTCTGATTATTTTTCGAGTTTTGTAAGTCGGGATTAGGACTTCATCCTTAATACGGTGAAATAAAAAATGGGTCTTTCGAGTTTTCCTAGCCCAGCTGAAGGTATGCTACCTTTACTGGTAAAGAACACAGTTATTTCAGTGGCTTTAGTAAAGAATTTGCTGAGATCTTTGCTGCAATTGGTGGGTGCTAATGGTGGCGGCGGTGGAGCGGAGCAAGATTTCGACGAAGAAGCTTCAAGAACCCGAAGAGGGTCGATAACCCGGTATAATTCTTTATGCAGAAATAGATGTGGTGGCGTAAGGCGGCGCTGCCGTGATGATGGTGGTTGCTCTGGCAGTGGCGGCGCGGGTGGCAATATGTGGCCTACAATGGAGTGTTGTGTGTGTCTATGTAGATTTGAAGGTGATGAGGAAGTGATTGAGCTTTGTTGTAAGCATTTCTTCCATAAAGGATGTTTGGAGAAGTGGTTTCATAATCAACACACTACTTGTCCTCTTTGTAGATCCACCGTGTAAGCATGAAGAATTGTGTGGATGAAATAGTTTAAATTTGTTGGTATGCTAGTGGATAAAATGAATTTTTGTATATATTTTTTTTATTCATTATGTTGAAGTTTTGTCTAAGTCAGGGTCGAGATACCAAACATGTTTATAGTTCGCAATAAGTTGAAAGTGTAGTAGATTGTGTGAAAGGTCGTGTACAAAATTTCATGATTTTAGCCCTGTCAGTTTCCAATTTTAATGAAAATTTGCACCGTTGCAATGGAAAGTAACTGCTTTTGTTGACCATTTACCCATTTGTTTGGAAAAAAGGATCAAAAAAATACATTCTTTTATTAAAATAATGGGAAACGGCATGTCCTTAGTATGTGGCGAGTTCGCTTTTGAATTCAATAGACATATGAGACTAGAATCATGCTTGGTACACCCACTATTTACACTTTGTTACATGGCAAATTGTCATTTGTCAGTTTAAAAAAAAAATTGCATTCTCATCCGACCACTTTTTGCGAACAAATGTGTAGAAATTGGGTGTACAAATTATTGATAGACATCGTGTATAGTTTAGAAATGAGTGTGCGCCCTTCTAATTTCTTGAACGTAATTCCTTAATTTTCTTCTCTTGTATGTAATATTTACAGCATCAGTTTCCAGTGTGTGACAAGCTAAAGGCTATGTTAGTCGAAACTTGGCAATATAAATCCGCTAAAGACTCGTCTAAAGAAATATCGAACGAAAATTCAAGTACTCGATTATAAGTCGCAGAGTATACGATCATTATTCATTAACTTTTATAAACTATTATGTTTGCTTCTGAAGCAACTCCAGGGTACAGGAGGTGCTACATTAATTGTTATTTAAAGTAAAGTGCACAACTTCTGTTACATATTTCATAAATAAGACAGTCTTCTAATCATCGATTCCCTTGCTCCAGAACTGCACATCCTCCTTATGCTCATAATAATAGGGGCGGTGTACGCCCTCACGAGCATCACCGTAACGCTTCACCTGTCCGTTCTGCACCACAGGCAGCATATGTGGTGGCGCGTGATGATGACCACCATTTGTACCACCACCCATGTTTAAGTGATGCATGTTGTCCGAGTTCTCGTACTTCTCGTACTTATAATCTCCATCATGCCTCTTGCATCCATAGCTAGGCTTGTCCATATTCCAGCTGTCATTGTGATGGTACTGCTCTTTGTCGTTAGGCCAGTAACCTTCCTTTCCATGCTTCGTACCCTCGTAATAACCATCATGATAAGGCGGTGCGTGGTGGTGGTGTGGCGGAGTCGGGGGGCATTCATTAGGCCTCATTATTTGCATGCTTGAACTATTATCGTAGACGGAGTTTCCCTTCACGAATTTCTCCTCCTCGACAATCACATAGGATTCTTGCTTGTAGCCATACTCCGGGTACCCTTGCATTTTAAAGTTTTTTTCCCCTCTCTTCTTATTTCAAGTTGATTTGCATTGCTTGGAGATTTTGAGTTCATACTTATAGTGTTAGATTAAGATTCCAAATTGAAAAGGATAAATTGATGGTGATTTATATGATATTTGGCATTTACAGCGAGGCAAGAAATTCTCACAACCTTATTCTCAATTCCTTATTGACAAAATTTAATAATTCTGGACAAAGTTGGACGGTGTTAAATGAGAAGGCGGACTTCAAATCTTGTAGTCCTATCAAATATTGCGTACTAAACATTCTATTAGCCCTTGTGTGAAGTTGATTTTTTGAGAAATGATCTTTCGAAAAATGTGTGGTTAAAAAGTAAGGAAAAGATATGGAGAACCGTGAAAAATAAGTTTTTTATAAGAATGTGTGATTGAAAATAAGTTCGGGAAAAAATTGATTTTGAAAAATTCAGTTACAAGGAGGGGCTTAATGTTTAAGAAAGAATCCCATAAGTCCTTTGTTGGTTGGCATGCACTTCATTTATGGCTTTCGACATCACTTTATCGTATCGAATCAATTTCATGTTAGTGGATATGAGCTGCGTTTCAACGGTTCTAAGTTCACGTCTTGTCATCCTTTATGTATGAAAACTATGTACATAATTGTCTCTTGATGAAAAGTGAATTCAACATGTGCTCGAGAGGACGTAAGGGAGTCCATTGAAAAATAATAAGAACTTTTAGATGAGGTGATGCATAAGTTCTAAATTTAATTTTATCTAAAAGCATTATTATACCTCATAGGTTTATAGAAATCCTTATAATGAATTATAGCTCAAAGTGAAATCATAAGTAAAAAGAGGAATATCTTGGCCTTTCCACTATTTAATAAACTTTATTTTAAACCGTATTTGAAATAGAAATGACATATTTGGTAAGCTAAACTCAAAATAAATTATGATAAATTTTGTTTCGAATTTCTTTTTAATTCATATCCTATCAAGCATGCGAAACATGTCAATAAGTTAATTCAGGACTCACCAATAATGCTGCAATTTTAACAAATAACCAAATCTCAGTAACTAAGATGTAAGAAAAATATGAGTGAGGGACTAATCGAATAAATAAGGTTTTTAGTATATACCAATTCATAAATAAGGTTTTTAGTTTATACCAATTCAAAAATCATGTTTATAGTTTGAAAATTCAAAAATCAGGGTTTTTTTTTTTTT